CACACACACACACACACACACGGAGTCTGTGTGCTGTTTGGGTGTACATACTTGTGCAAGGATGGTCAACCAATGTAAACGACAAAAAAGGTAACGGCCAGGAAACTTCGAAACTGCCCCTCGTGCCAATATTGCCCAAGCCGGTACGAAATGCCACGCCAACATGCGCCCAAACAGTCCGAAACAACAAATACAAGGAAAACAACACGGACCCGATCCCCCAAACATAATCGGGAAAAGTTATGAACGCCCCTCCCCTTTGCCTCGAAGTGTACATAGAGTAGTGAGAAGAAAAGAGATGAGAAAAATAGAGAAACGAAGGCAAGTGATTGAGAGAGGAAGAATATGGTCCAAACACCTCGCTGGGCCCAATCTGGCTTCTGGGTCTCGTGGGAGGCGTCACGCGAGACCTGCTGTATGCTTTATAGACAGTTTCTATTTATAGATTCTAGATATGCGCTGCGGAAGGTTGCAAGCAATTCCGGCCAGGCTAAGGCGATAATCCTACGCTGCAAAGAACTCTTACTCTGCTTTCTCTCCTTATTTCTCCTCCTCTTCTTCTTCGTCGCCTTCCTCCTTTTTTATGAAATTTCGACCATTTCTCGATTTCTTTTCTCTTCTTGCTCATGTCAATTTCCAACTTTGCACATGTTTGCACCTGCGAGAATTGATCCTCCAATGTGCATCCACCGGATGTATTACGTTATCTGAGGGCCTTTTCACACTAGCACTTTCCTAAATGTATCTGACCTCAATTACGGCCAAACCTGGGTGAATCTGACCGCGACTACGTCCAGAGCTGCTTAGTAGTAGAATTTGTTCATTGCCTGAATTATTCATCTCAGTCCAGACTGCCCAGGGTCAAAGAACGACTTCTTGGCGTCGTTGGCGACTCTGCCTGCCAGCTAGCATTCTGTGGCCTATAATGCATCCTCCCCAGGCACCTCGTCAGATGCCTCGCACCTCAAGTTTCATGGCCCACTGAGTCACTGACGCCTCAAGCAGCAATCTTCACTAGCAGCACAGGGACGAGCGCGTGCCCAACTACTACTCCCAGCAGTGCATGCAGTCCATGCAACCTTAGGAAGACTGCACGACGCCGGACGACCTGACACATTGCAACCAATTCCAGTCACACAGCACATTGCCTCTCTTGTGTGATCGCCGCTGCTCCTCTCACTCTCTCTCTCTCTCTCTCTCTCTCTCTCACACACACACACACACACACACACACACACACACACACACACGCACACACACACACACACATACACACACAGATACAGAGACACACACAGCGGCCTACTCTTGCCTCTGCTTCGCTTTTTTTTCTTCTTTTCTTTTCTTTTCTTTTTTTTTGGTGGAACATCTCTTGTGGGTGCTAGCGGTGTTGATAAGAGCAATAACCGCTAGTTACTTTTCCCCACGTTCCGTTCCCACCCCCCGGAAAGGGACAAGTTCACCCGAAGCTGCTTCTTCCACCACGCGAATTCTACTCTATGCGGAAACTTGAAGGATCCAGCAGAGAGTTGTGAACTTGTCCTGTCTTTGACTCTTTGGAACACTGATGTGTCTCAGGCCCTCAGGGCAGTCGTGACTCGTGAGCATGGTTTTCCAACAACACTGCTACATCATTTCGTGGATGGATATCAACCCTGCATAACGGATGCTATGCTGCTTCCTCCTTACTGCCACACCTGGCACACCATAATCCACACGAAGTTACAAACGACCGCTAGGCTCTAGCTGACGATGTGGTTGGACTTGGACTGTGGGATTCTGGGCCTTTCTGGCAATCTCACCTTTGATACATATTGCATGCAAGGCTCGAACATGCCGAGGCCAATTGGAGAGAGAGAGAGAGAGAGAGAGAGAGAGAGAGAGAGAGAGAGAGAGAGAGAGAG